TCCTCCTCCTCAACCTCCTCCTTCTCCTCCTCCTCCTCCTCCTCCTCCTCCTCCTCCTCCTCCTCTTCCTCCACCCCCCTCCCCGACGGTGCTCTTGACGTTGCCCCCGAGGCCCCCCTCTTGCCTCCGGCCGTGGTCTGCCGGGCGGGTGGCCGGCTGAGGCCCCCGCGCGCGCAGCGCGTCCACGCCCCGGCAGCAGCGACCACCCGCAGCGATGGCAGGGCTTCCCGAAGCAGTCAGAGCTGCGTGAAGTCACCTCGCGGGCGATGTTTCTCCCCCAATCCCCGAGTTTCGCCCGAAAAGTTTGGCCGCTCAGAAAAACGAGAAAACCCTGGGATACACCCCAAGGGGGCAATTTGGACGCACCCCTATCGAGGATGGACACCCCCCCATCGTATATCCCAGGGTTGGCACCAAATTTTTGGTCCATTCGGAAACCCCACGAAGCCTGAGATAGGGGTCGACATATCCCCTGTTATCACCCTGATCACTCCAGGGCGTTTCGGTGATAGCGCTGGTGTGTGGATGCGTCAATCCACATGCAGAGTGCGAGGCGTTCGGGTGGGGTGGGGGTCGGTCGGGCTCAGCTTCAGGATGTCCATCTTCCACCCTCCTTCGGGGGGCGTCCACTGGTCCCCGGATGTCCCCAGATGCCGCGGGTGACTAAATCACGGCCAGTTTTTTCGCTCCCGAAGTCGTTTTCCGGACGCGTGCGCGTTGTGCCCAGGCGAGCGTGCCGTCGCGTCTGCTTGCGCTTAGCAGAGCAAGCGCCAGGTTCCAAGAAGGGGCCCCCGGGGGTTCCCCAGAGGCTCTAAAAATGGCAGGAATTCTCGAGCGATTTCGATAACCCGTCCTGCTTCCAAGCTGCAGTAAAAAGAGACGAACGCGCCGCCCGAAGTCATGGAAGTGGAATTGTCGGCGTTGTTAGCTCGCATCTGAACGAGGCGCAGGAGGAGGAGGAGGAGGAGGAGGAGGAGGAGGAGGAGGAGGAGGAGGAGGAGGCAGATCGCCCGCGCCACGTTCGGCAGAGCGGCGCGTGCTGCGCGCCAGTGCCCCGGGGCGGCGCCGGCGGAGGTATTTTTTCCTCTTCGCGGTGGGTGGCTGCGCCTTTTCCTTACGCCGTTTTAAGGGGCTGTCTTCTCTTCTCCCGAACCCGTCGCAGAGGTGCTGGGGCAGCTCTCGCGCGAGCACATGGAGATGTTCCTGAGGAGCGGGCCGCCGTCGATGATCTTGGGCAGCCGCTGGTCGCGGCGGCCGTGCTGTGTCGTCGTCGCCGCCGTCGTCGCCGTCGACGTCTTCGTCCTCGTCGTCGTCGTTGTCGTCGCTGTCGACGAGGAGGCTGAGGAGGAGGGTGATTGCAGTCTCAGCTCGTGTTAATGATGAGCCTTTGTCGAACAGACATCTTGCATCATTTGGTTCAGGTTTTCATTGGCACGTTAGGGCGCGCGCATCCTTTTTTGGGCTCTTTGCCAAAGGTCCTTCGTCCTTGGAGTTCCGTGCTTGTCGGTTGTTTTCGTTGCAGGAAGCAGGAGGAGGAGGAGGAGGAGGAGGAGAAGCATGAGGAGGAGGAGGAGAAGGAGTAGGAGAATGAGGAGGAGGAGGAGGAGGAGGAGGAGGAGGAGGAGGAGGAGGAGGAGGAGGAGCAGGAGAGAGAAGGAGCAGGATGAGGAGGAGGGGGAGGAGGAGGAGGAGGAGGAGGAGCAGGAAGGAGGAGGACCAGAAGGGAGGGGGGGCTGGCGGAAAAAATTGTAGGGAGGACAGCTGGTGGATCCTGGGTCGTCTTGTGCGGGGCGTGTCCTGTGTACCAGGCTTGGCACGCTTTTGGAGGCCGAGCCCGCTGGCAGCAAAGTTGAGTGGCATTTCTCATCGGCGGCGAGCGAAGGGGGGAAGTGAGAAGGAAAAGGCCCTCTCAGAAGGCGGCGGGATTTCTCAGAAGCCCTCGCGCCTTCTGAGAAGTTTTTCGTGTCTTCGGGGAAGGCTCAAAAACTTCCGAGCCTTCTGAGAAGGCCTTCTCCTTCTCGCTTCCCCCCCTCCCTCGCCGCCGGGCTTAGCTTGGGCCCAGGTGTCTCACGCGCCACATCCCAGTGGCGCTCACGGGTTTGGGAGAGGAGAAGAGGTACCCCTACTGCTCCCCTCCCCCTGTCTTCGCTCTTCTGGGCCTCCTGGGAGGTCCTCGTCGCCACGGGTGGATTCGATTCGAAATCCTGGTCAGAACGCATCCCGGGAGAGGTCCGGAGAGTAGCGGTATGGGGCCCTGTTGGTTTCCCCACGAGTCCCTTGAGATCAGAGGTCTGCGCCGTCACGAGCCGTATTCGCGATCCCTCTGCCACACAGCCATCTGAGCCTCAGGGAGCCCCACTGAGTGCTCAAGGCGCGGTGGCGGCTGTCGTGTGATACATTGCTGCCCCGCTTTCTTTTTTAATCCCCTGCCCACCGCTTGTAGCCGTGAATTTCTGCCCGGGCTGGGTAAGGGTGGGGTCATTGGTTCGGCTTTGGTTCAGATGTTGCCAAGCGGGGAACGCTCCCCCCTTGAGTACCGCTTGCAAGACATCGTGTCTCTTTTTGACATGTAAAGATCTCGACTTTCAAACCTGCTTGCAGATTCGTTGGCGCAGTCACCTCGGAAAGCACGCATGACGGCCTGCACAGTCTGGGAATGCTCACGGAGTGGGTTGCAGTCATTCGTGCGCACGATTTGCATATTTTTGGGAACAAGCAATGACATAAACACACACTATCGGAGGTACGCGCGGATTTCTCTGTCCGGCGCCGGACCCCTCTCCCTTCCTCGCGGAGCGGGCCCCAGGGCGGCGCCCGAGGCCGCCGGGGGGACCCGGCGCCGACCGGAGGGATCCGCGCGGGCATGAGAGCTTTTGTGCTGATGTCATCGCTTGTTGCCGTAATCGACGAGCTCGCGGGTGGTCGGGAATGCTCTTCCTCACTTCAGGAAGAGAAAAAACACACAGACACAATTAATCGTCGAGTCCCAGGATAATATGGGAAAATATGGGAAGTGGGGGGGAAGACGAAAACCTGGAAAATATTGGAAAATATGGGGAATATTTTTATTTGTGTGTATTTATTTGTGTGTCCTGGGGCCCCTTTATCACTGGCGCTTCAACTGGGCCTTGCGTGTCTCCGCCGGCCCGTCCCCTGGCGAGCCGTCGTGGGAAGGGAGCTGTTGAGGGGCTCCCAAGCGGTGCTGTGACCAGACCGTGTGGCGGAGCCATCACCGATGGGGGGGTCCACATCACCAGGGAGCCCCCCCCCTCCCCCTCCTCCTCCTCCTCCTCCTCCTCTCCTCCTCCTCCCCTCCTCCTCCTCCTCCTCCTCCTCCTCCTCCTCCTCCTCCTCCTCCTCCTCCTCCTCCTCCTCCCCCTTGCTCCTCGCGCCCCCTCGCCCTGCGAAGTGTGGGTGCCGCCTCTCCCTGCTCCTCTGCGGAGCGGAGGGGGGCGGCGCCGCGGCCCGCGCCCCGCCGCGGCCCGCCGCGGGGCGCGTGCGCGCCGCCTCGGCGGGCCTCTCGTGGCACTCGGCGCGGCGCGCGCCTCCCCGGAGGGGGGTGGGGCGCCCTCCGCGGGGCGCTTCCTCCCGCTGCCGCCCGAGGAACCCGCGGTTCCTGGGCATCCAGGACCGCGCGGCGGGGGTCAGAGCGCTCGGGGCGATCGTCGAGTCGGGCCTGTCCCTCTACATGGGGGGATGTGCAAAAAATGGTTTGGGGGCAAGATTTGTTTTGACCGTTTTTGAACATTGTGGGAGTATTGTTTTGGGTATTTTTGGTTCGCCGCCCAGAATCCCCTGTATGGGGGACCGGCCCGACCTAATGCTATCGGTGGTCCACGGGGGTGCCATCGGTGGCAGGAGCCTGGGAGGAGTGCGCGGAGGAGCGGGTGGAGGTGACTTGTGCTGATCGGGTTTGAGGGCGGCCTGAAGGGGAGATCAGCATCTTCCCGTTCCTCTCTCCTCACCATCGTCTGTCTCGTCCTTTTTGTCTTCGTCCCTTCTCGTCCTCCCCTCTCAGTCTCATCTTCAGCCCCATTGTTCCCTTCCTCGTCGTCTTTCCTGTTTTCTCTCTACTCTCCTTCTGCGACTTCCTCCCTTTTTTCCTGCCTCCCCTTGCCGCTCGCGATGCCCCCGCTGCTGGTGCTTCTGCGGTTGCTGATCGCCTCCCCTCCTGAGCCCTTTTGGCGCACTCGGGGAGCAAACACAGTACCAATGTCACACAGGTCGGACGACCCCGTCAGCGTCCCGTTGTCGAGGAAGCGCCAGGCTCTTGTGTTGTGTAGAGGGCGACTTGACAACAGGGCTGGACCTGAACGCTGTTTTCCTGGACTTCGGCTGTGTTTTGTTTTTCGCTTGTGGGGGAGGAGGTATAGCAACATGAAAAACAACATTACCCCAGTGCGACCCTACCTAGAAGTTGGAACCCGTAGGACAGCAGCATTAGTTGCTATGCTATGCTATGCTATGCTATGCCATGATATGCTGCGCTATGTTATGCTATGCTATGCTATGCTATGCTATGCTATGCTATGCTATACGGCGCTATGCTATGCTATGATAAGCTACACCGCACTCACATCTATACCCCTGGGTGGGTGTATGTGCGGCCGTTTTTGCGCTGTCATGTGCGCGCATGTGCGCGGCATGTGCCAGTCATGTGCCAGGCCTGTGCGGCCCTTCTTGGATGGACTTCCTACTGTGCACGTCGTGCCCGGGCATGTGCGGGGGCATGTGCGCTGTGTTTTGATGTATCCATCATACGCACATGCACGCACAGTCCGACGCACATGCGCGCACATGCCTGCACATGCGGGAGGTGTTCGAGAATCGCAGATCTGTCATCGGCACATGCACGCACATGCCTGTGCAACCTCTCTTCGGGAGGCCGCGCGGGCCCGCACATGCACGCACATGCGGTGAAGCGCGCGGGCGCACATGCGTGCACATCCCAATGCACATGCACGCTCATGCCCTAGGAGCTGTCTGGGACCCCTGTGCCTCCAATGCCTCCTGGCCTTCGCAGAGCTAACCTGGGGCGTGCCAGGCCTTCCTGAAAGAGTTTGTTGTGCGTTTAGACTCGCCCGCTGCTGGCGGGGGCGGTTCTTCGCCCGGTTCGTGAGCTGGCGGTGGCGTGCCCTCCTAGTAAAACACTCTCCCGCGCGCCTTCTCAGCTCGGCCGGAGAAGCAGGGGTGGGGGGGGAGGAGGTGGAGGGGGGGGGAAGGAGGGGGGGCCGAGGAGGCGGACGCCCCCGGCTCGGCCGGCCCGCCCGCCTGTTCGGCTCGGCCAGAAGAGAAGGAGGAGGAGGAGGAGGAGGAGGAGGAGGAGGAGGAGGAGGAGGAGGAGGAGGAGGAGGAGGAGGAGGAGGAGGGGGAGGAGGAGGAGGAGGAGGAGGAGGAGGAGGAGGGAGGAGGAGGAGGAGAGGAGGAGGAGGAGGGAGGAGGAGGAGGAGAGGGGTGAGAGGATGTCTCAGGCGAAAGTGGCTTGACGGCCCGAGCTCAGGGAATCTCGGAATCGCTATAGCCTGGCTCGGCCACTGGCGAGCTCGGTCTGTGCGAATACTGTGCGTACCTGTGCGGGGCATGTGCGGGACGTGCAAGAATGCCGGGGCCGGCGTTCGTCTCCGGGCGCCGGCGCGTTCGCGTCCGGCCGGTTCCGAGTGAGACGTCGTCGGCAATCTGGAGGCCGACATGCTTTGACATGAGGTGATCTGGCCACGTTCGCCTGAGACATCCTCGCAACTCTGGTCTCGGAGATGCCCTGCCCCATGGTGGCCCAGCCACTTTCGCTTGAGACATCCTCGGAACTCTGGGTTTCGAGACGCCCTGAGCTGAGGTGGTTCGACCACTTTCGCCTGAGACATCATCGCAACTCTGACCTCAGAGATCTCCTGCCCCATGCTGGTCAGGCCACTGTCGCCTGAGACATCCTCGCAAGTCTCGATTCCGATATGCCCCGAGCTGAGGTGGTCAGCCACTGTCGCCTGAGACATCCTCGCAACCCTGATCTCAATGATGCCCTGCTCGATAGTGTCTCGGCCCCTTTCGCCTGAGACATCCTCGGAACTCTGGGTTCCGAGACGCCCTGAGCTGAGGTGGTTAGACCACTTTCGCTTTAGACATCCTCGCCCGAGATGCCCTGAGTTGAGGTGTTCAGGCCATTTTCGCCTGAGACATCCTCGCAACTCTGACCTCAATGATGCCCTGCTCCATAGTGTCTCGGCCTTTTTCGCCTGAGACCCTCGCAACTCTGGGTTCCGAGATGCCCTGCCCCATGGTGGTCCGGCCACGCTTGCCTGAGACATCCTCGCAACTCTGGGTTGCGAAATGCCCCGAGCTCAGGTGGTCATGCCACTATCGCCTGCGACATATCTGCGGCATGTGCGGGCATGTGCGTCCATGCTTTCAGAGTTTTGTTGACCGTGCATTCGACTGTGCGTCGGACGGTGTGGCATGTGCGCGCATGTGCGGCAATGCTGTTGAGGCTTTTGCATATTTGCATGGACATGTGCATGCGACTGTGCGGCATGTGCCTGCATGTGCGGCCCCTTCCGGACCACAATTTCAAAGTGAGCACTATAGAAGTGAGCGCTATAGAAGTGAGTCCGGTGTATGCTATGTCATGCTGCGCTGTGCTATTCTAAGTTATGATATGCTAAACTGCGCTGTGCTATGCTATGACATGATATGATAGGTTATGTTATGATATGCTGCGCTATGCTATGCTATGACATGTTATGCTATGCTTGGCTATTTTATGCTATGCTATGCTATGCGAATGAAGCGCTGCGCTATGCTGAGCTAAGTTAAGCTAAGCTATGCTAAGCTAAGCTAAACTGAGCTATGCTAAGGTATGCTAAGCTAAAATCCACCTGAGCTAAGATGAGGCTAAGCTAAGCTAATATGAATTACGCTAAGCTAAGATGAGATACGCAACGCTAAGCTAAGGGAACGTCACTGGGGGAACCGCGGAGCGGATGCCGGCGGAACCGCCCCTGGCGTGGACCACTGCCCGGCCCTTTAAGCACACCGAGTAAGAACCCTTCTAGGCAGAGCCTAGGTAGGGAAGAAATCAGAACACGCAACAACGTTTAAGTCCCGCCCTGCTTGACAACGTGCGTGCGCGGCTCGAGAGACGACGCCGCGTGCCCTCTGCACCCTCCCGGACTGAGCGCGACCTTTGCGAGAACACGCGCGCGCTCGCCAGCTTGGTCCCCTCCCCTGCAGAGGGGACCCTTGCCCTGGGCCCGAGCGGCTTCTTCGGGGGGCCGGCGGCTGTCGGAGTGCAGACAGAGCCCAGGCCTCGTTTCGATTCCTTTGAGCCGATTCGATCTCGACGGCCTCCGATGCCGCTTCGATTCGGCCTCGGATTCCGCTCTGGATGCCGCCACCTCAGAGTGGAGGCCCACCAGCCTGCCGTTGCCTGCCGGTTCGACTCCCCCCGACCTGGCTGCCGATCTCCGCCGATCCGGCTCCTTTGGATCGCCGATCCGACCCGTCGATTCGATCTTGGGGCTCTCCCGTCGGGCCAGCGCTCCCTGCTCCCGGGGCCCGTGTGGCACCCGCCAGCCGCCGCGCGGGCTCGCGCGGCCTCTGCAGTGCGGCAGGAGCGCCGCGGTCCCGAGGCGGGGGCCTCCGCGGGTCACGAGCGGCGAGCATACCCATCGAAGACGCCTGCGGCGAGTCACCGCCGCCCCCTGCCTCTTTTCGGGGGAACGTGAGACTCGGGTAGGCCGGAACTCGGGTTTGCCGACGTTTTTCGACGAGCGCGTCCTGGATTTTGACGGTCCAGTTTTCCTGGGATGCTTGCAGTGGGAGTTCGCGTCAAATTTCAGATTGCGTCTCGTCATTTTTATGATGGACCCCGTCAGGCCAACCCGCGTCCCCCGTACCCGAGTCTTACGTCTCCCCGATCTTTGGAAGTGCCTATGTGGCCGAACGTTGAGGCCAGACCTGCCAAGCTATCGGACCATGTGTTCCCCGAATCGGTTTGGAAAGCCTTCGGGGAGCACGTGGGCATCTTGAAGGTCATCTTGGCCGCCGGGAGGCCGTTTTGACCCTGACCCTTTCGGGCCTTCTTGGAGGACGTCTTGGAGGGCTCTTGGGCCGTCTTGGGCCGTCTTGAGCGTCTTGGAGGCCTCTTCGGCCGTCTTGGGTGCCTCTTGGGGCCGTCTTGGGCCTCTTGGGCGATCTTTGGGGGCACTTGGGCCGTCTCGGGCTGTCGGAAGGCAGAAACAAAGCAAATGCTACAATCCTTTAACAACTCATGGGGAGTCAATGATGTTGGCTTTTTCGGGCCTTCTGGAGGCCCTCTTGGAGGCCTCTTGGGCCGTCTTGGGCCATCTTAGGGCCATCTTCGGCCGTCTTTATGGGCTCCTGGCCCGTCTGACGCCGCTGGAAGCCGTTTTGGGAGGCCTCTCTGGGCCGACTTGGGGCCCTCTTGGAATGCTCCAGGGCCGTCTTGGAGGTCTCCTAGGCCGCTTTGGGGGCCTCTTGGGCCGTTCTGGGGCCATCTTGGAAGCCTCTTGGGCGGTCTTTGGGCGATCTTTGGGAGCTCATGGGCCGTCTCGGGCCGTCGGAAGGCCGAAAAGAAGCAAATGTCAAAATCCTTCAAACACCTTAGGAAAGATA